TATGTACCAGACCTTAAGCTAATCTTAATCTCTATAATACCTAAACTTAATCTCTATAATACCACCATGAGGTTGGTTCTATTACTATCCCCATTTGAACATGAATAATTTACATACTGGAAAAATAAAGTAACTCATCTGAAATCCTCTAGTTACTGGCAGAACTAGAATTCAAATCAAGATGATCAGAATTGAGAATGCTTTTCTTTGTTACTATTATACTGGTGAAATATTCCCACAGAGTTCTAACTCCCACCTACATGGAGGAAATATTAAACATGTTTCAGTCTGTCTTCTATTGAAACCCACTCCCAGAAGCAAGGATGGGTGTCTGAATTGCATTTTTATAAACTTCATGAGTATATCTTAGTGTTCACTGTAATGATACCCTGATATCCAGTAAGAATGTGCATAGCTTGATACTGACTTCATTGAAAACTGGTTTTAAACCTCACACATAACCCCTTGCTTAAAATTGTTGAGTTTTCTCTGACTTGAGAAAAACCACAATGGAGAATCACTTCTCTACTACATTATACTGTAATTGTGAGAGTGGCTGTAAGGGTGAGAGAGGAAAGATTCAATCAGAAGCATGTGACCCCATTAAAGAAGGATTTTTCTTTTGCCTCTGCTCTCTAGAACAAGCTTTATCATCCAGTACTGATAGCCCTATTACGGCCACACTAAGGTAATGCATCACTGACAGGCAACTCGATCATAAAATAGATCAAGGTGCTGGACAGAGGTACGGATCCAAACACCACACATGGTAAAAACCTGACAAGGGGGCTTGGTTCTATCTGAGAATTTTCTACCAAGATGAGACACCCACCACACCCCAAGAACAAGTATCTAAAAACTGAAGTGAAACTCTCATTTGCAGGTTTGCATCTTCCTCCCACATCTCCAGATTAGGCCTGCCTATCGTGGGATATAGATTTTTGTGGTGATGAAAGAGGTAAATTTGGAGCAATTTATGGAATATAGAGAGGACCTTAAACTAAATATGAGTTTCTGAAAATATGCTGTCTTTAAGCTCAGCTTCTGACAGCACAACTCAATGAAATCCCTTCTAAATTGGTCTGGCAAGACAGAAAATCTCCCATAGTCCTCCCAAGAACAGTAGCTACTCAGGAGCACAGCTGGGTTAGGGGAGGTGGCAGGAATAGAGGAGGGAAGGTTTGTCACATCAGTGACAGTATTAAACACTACACAGAGATTAGTCCTATGAAAAGTGGGCACTCAATATATGCCTGAAACAAATATACAAACTTGTCTAACATCCTCTTAAAGTATACCACTATTAAAAAAAATCATATTCTTTATATTTTGCCTAACTTTTAAAGTCCACTATCTGGAAGAAAGAAAAAAAACAATCAGAAAGTTTACATTATCATGATGGCCACTGAGGTCAAGGCATTCTTGGTTTCTTGATTTCAGTCAAGGATTCTAACATACAATAGCCTGTCTGTGAAGAGCATATAGCCGTATACAGTTGGGAAGGCATGGTATTTTAAAATAGTTTCTACCACAGTATTTACAAAAAACAATGTTTTCCACATTAAAACAGCAGCTGCAATGTCACACTTATATCACCTTCTCCTTCCTTTTCAGCTCTATTCTTGGAGCCTATAAAAGATAACTAATATTTTAAAAGACACAAAGATAAAATAAAGGTATGACATTAATCCTGATGACCCTTAAAGAAAAAGAGTCTTCCTTTGATGTTTATCAGCCATAGTTACATCCTCTAAGCATCGTTAAAAATAACACCTGTGTCTGTAATGCTCCCTTGCTTTCCCATGGCTATGAACTGATCAAACCTTTACACTGCTGCAGAGTACGTAAAATGGTGTTACGTAAGAAGTGTCACTGTGTCCAATTTCTGCTCAATTCAGAATCCAGTGGAAATTAATCTTTCCACCAAAAAAAAAAAAAACCTGTAATAAAGTACTTCTTATCACAACAGGGGAGAGAACAAAAAGGCAGCAGGCATAAAGGACTCAAAAAAAAGAATATTATAGCATCCTGCTAAAAGATAAAACCATTTCCAGCTTGATAAGGTAAGAGCAAAGACATTTTTCCAGGGCACATGGAAGGGAAGCAAATATTCCCAAAATGAAAAGAAAGCAAAGCAGTTCCTACGAAAAGAAATATAAATTTCCTAGTATATATTTAAAATAAGTCATCCCAGAGTGAACCAGAAAAGGGTAAGCCCAAGAGGATCTAAAGAAAGTTAAAAATACAATGGAGAAACAGAGGAAATTTCCAGTAAAACTTGATGGCTTGAACACATGAATTTATCTCTCCCCTTTACCAATTCATACCAAAACAATAGTGAAATTAAAATCCATAATGGCAATGAAAATGAGTAAAGAGAAGACTACAGACAAGATAGAAATAAAAATGTGAAGACAGGAGACAAACAGATGAGAGGTCACATTGCCTAGGATGAGTGAAATGAAAAATCCTGATACCTACATGATCCAAAGCATAAGCTAGTAAGAAATAAGTCAATTCATACTTCAGAATCCCCAAAATACTCAAGAATTTGTAGCTGAAGTTGAAAGTGGGGCTACAAATGATATGATTAGTTGTAGTAAATTTAAAGAGGAGGTCTTTGCCCCTAGTCTCCCTTGGGCAGCCACCTACCCCTTCCTAGTCCCACCAGAGATGTATTCTTTGAAGTGGCTGAATCAGAGTATTTGACTGGGGCTTGGATACCAGGCAGAGTGGATATCATATTCAAGAGTCATAATGAATGGGAAAAAAAACATAAGAAAGTCTGCATTGAGAACCGAAGGGTCCTCAGTCCCTTCTTGATCGTCTCAGAATAGTAACAGCTATGTTTATATGTCCTAAAAAATAAACTGGGTAAGTCCATTTTGGGAGAACTACCCAATAACAAAAATATAATAATAAATAGAGATAGTAACATTTGCGAGTACTAAAATAAGATGACTAGGTCTTCACCAAGAGTCCCTAAGCTGAAGCTCACCAATTAACAAGCCACCCAGGCACAAAGCTTCCAATCAACTTTTGAGTACATTACTCATAACATAAACTGAGAGCCAACAGTTTCTCTGCAAGAGGCATGAAACAGACTCACCAAAAACCTCAACAGGTAAGGCAGAGACCAAAACAAATAAACAGAAACAAGAAACTCAAAGGAAATCCAGAAATAATTCAGAGAATATATAAAAGGAAAAAAAATTTCCTAATCTATGTTTAGTATCCTCAGAAAGACATGAAGTGATATATTATTCACTGAAATAGAACAGAATAATTTTTAAAAGAGCATTCAAAGAATAAGAAAAAGTTCATGGAAATAACTGTTAGTAGAATTAAAAGTGCAATTGATGGGTTAAAAATTAAAGTTAAAAAAAAAAACCAGAACATTAAAAAAAACAGATTTAAAATAATAGGAAAAGGATAAGCTAACTAGAAGATCAATCCAATAATGCCAACATCCATCTAATAAAAATGTTCTTTTAAATGAGAGAGATTAAAAGAAAAAATTAAATATATAAGAAAACTTGTTGAAACTGAAAAAAAATTAACTTGAAAATTAAAAACAGCCATTGAATACCAAGAAGAAGGATGACACCAGGGATAAAAATAAAATCCTAGAAAATTCCACAAAGAAAAAAGCAGATAAAGAATGAACTGAGAAATCAGAATAGTCTAGGGATTTCAATACAATCTAGGCACTTAGAAAAAAATAAAACAAGATTTCAAAACTCTAAGAAAAAATTATTTTCTAAACTAGAATCATATAATCAGCCAGATTATTAATCAAATAATAAACAATGGATAAAAACATAGTCATATGGGCAAATCCCCCATCACCCTTTCTCAAGAAGCTATTGGAGGATATACTTTAAAATAATGAAATAAACCAAGACCAAGACATGTAGCCCAGATAATGGATATTTAACATTTAAAAAAGGAGGAAAAAATTCTCAGAAAAGGAAGCCTTAGGACTATAGGATCAGAGATTAACAACCTATATTAAATTAGGACTATGTGGGGGAGAAAAACTGATAGATTATCTGATTTCTCGGAGGTATTTCACAGTTTTGTCAAATAGTTTCGGGCCTCAAATTGTGTTTAAAATTATATTAATTTGAACAAAGGAAAAGTAGACCATGTCAAGTAAGAAAATCAAAAAGTTGTGCAACGAAGGAAATTTAGTGTGAATATAGCAAACTTGTAGTTTCACTATGACCAAAATTTACATTATCATATGACTGTAAATAATGTATAGTAATTTAAGCCAAAAATAGGAAAGAAATGTATTGGGGAATAGATATAGAACAGAGAACATTCTCTCTTGACGTATTCCTTTCTAACTTGTAAATCACTACTTATGTCTAAAGTCTGTTTTCCTCAAACACTTCTTTCTGGACATTTTCTTTCCTTTGGTCCTATTGAATCTGCCCTATACAGATTTCTACTCCAGCATTTTCCATTCAGTACAGGGGTCTGTCCTGGAAAAGAACTTCAATTTGTCATTTTAGAGACGTCACATGACAAAGACTGGCACACTACTCCCCCTGCCCCACAAAAAAAAAAAAAAAAAAAAAATGGATTAACACCAGTGAACAAATTTTGACATGTATTCTGCAATGAAATTCTTTGTGAATTTGCTAATTTCAAAACTACCCTTACTGCCTACACAGTAAAGTTCAATAACCTCTCCAAGAGTTTAAAACACAAAAGACTTTTAACCATAAATTCCTCTAACTAGAAACAATGGCGAGGGGAATGATTTTTCCAAAAATAAGTTGAATCATTTCATTCATTTGCTTGCTTAGTGCTTATAAATAAGGAGTCCATATATAGTTTGCTCTCTCTCTTCCAAAACATTCAACCACCCTGGGAGAGAATGCATAATAAGGCACTGATAAAGCCCTGTGCTGTCTTCCAGCACAGCATGCTACTATTGTAAGAGGGCTACTCTTTCTGTTTACACAGTGATAAACAAGAAGACCACTTACCGAGCTGGGGCTGGAGTGCCGCCTAACTTTAGGTGACTCTTTGCCAGTGGAGGAGGTCTTAAAGTTAATGCAAGCATTGTTCTCAGAATGCACCCTCTTTACTTGATTAGTTGGTTTCTCAAATGGGTCAAAAGTGCTCTGTGTCCTCTGAACTCTGACTTTTTTATCCTCAGGAATTGTGTCCAGGGGTTTGATCACTGAGTCCATTCCCTGGCAATTCCGTGTAGACATCTTTGTGACACATATCTGAGAAAAGAAGAAATTAAATTCAGAACTCTTCACTGCAACTTTAATATCACTAAACATGCCAATATATTACTCTAGAAAGCATGCCAATTTCAGTTTCAGGAAATACCCAAAAAGCCCACATTCTAAAAGCTGCATCAGCATACATTACAGTACAGTACAAAAAATTCCTCACAATCATTCTGCTTATATTCACTTAAGGCTTACACTAAAATAACTGCCTCTAAAAAGGGAAACTTAAGGCCTAGACTTCTCGTAGTACCCTAAGATGATTCTTGAACTCGGTCACATGTTTTACCATACGACTGTAAGTAGTTTATTTCTGAATCATTAAGAGGTTGGATAACTGGCCTTAATTTAAAAAAAAAAAAAAAAAAAATAGTTGGGCGAATCAGATGTGCACTTTAACGATGGGTCATCATCGTGTAAGCCACTAACCTAGGCTAGAGAAAGAAAAGGCATTATGTTGTTTAAAAGTTGTACGTATGAAAATGTATGCTGAAAATCTGTCCCCATCTTGATTTCATCTCCAAATTGGAATGAATGGAGCTAACGGTTAGAGATGTTAAAGAACTGAGGACAATGGTGGGAGTTTTCTTTATTTCAAAGCTAATGGATAAAAAATAAATAACATTGTAAAAGAAAAACAGCAAAGAGCATTCATTTCAAAATTTTGTTTACATTACTCCACTAGACCTCCACTTCCTTCCCGTCTCCCTCCTTCTTCACGCATTCTTTTCCTGCCCAGCCTGCCCCACTCTCTCATTTTATTTCAGTCTCTGTGATTTTTGTTCCTTGCTTTTCACTTTATGTTCTAAGCCTGTCATTTTCCCTATACTCTGGAGACTTTGTTGTCCTTATTAAATAATTTGGCAGCCTCTAGCTTGTCTGTAAAACTACCTAATTTAATTCTCTCTAAAGAAAAGATAACTCTAAATAAAATTGCTTTTAGAACTTTCTTCTTGTAAAAAGTTCCCATATCCCTATATGCTATCAAAAGCAGAAAAACAGAAGATATTTATGAAAAGCCCACATTGTTAAAGTAAAAATATCAAGTTTTTGAATACATACTTTGGATCCATGGTCGGTTGAGTATGTGAATATAGAACCCACAGAGATATACAGAGTTAATATGTACAGAATGATTCCAGGTAGGGGATAAATGTAGCTATGTATATGGATATAGACAGATACAGATATAAAATCAGACTCAGATACATAGTTACAGTTATTTGTGAGTGTCTGAGCATGGTGAAAAGTATACAGGAAAACACACCAAACTATTAACATCAGATATCTCCAGACATGTAGAATTGAATGGGTAATGGGTAAGATAAGCAATTTTTTTTACACTCTCATATTGTATGAATTTTATAATAAATATGCCAACTTATGTAATGTTTCTAAATCCACTAAAGTAAAAAAGTATGTATAATTAAAATAAGCCATTTCAAGTTTTTTAAACAAAAAGTTTTTAATTGTTAAACATCAACCCAGTCCTAAGAGTATGTCTCAACTATTAAGCACAGGCTGAATTCGAACTAAGTCAAATGAAAAGAGTATTATCATACTTTTTAGTATGTGAGAAAACAGGTGAAGATGATTTTAAAAGACTCAAGGCAGAGTCCTCTAGACATGATCAAAAAGTAAAAATTTATTACAAGTCTTTTGGAGCATGCAATATTTTTAAGGGTTTTTGCATTCTTCTAAAGGATGTGAAGTCCATAGATAATAAACCACCCACATCACTGAGGCAATTAATTTATAAATACACGGGCCTAAGAAGTCAATGAACCACAAACAGAAAATTTGAAAGAAAAGAAAATGTAAGGGCCTACTGAAATCAAATTATTTAAAACACAGAGAGAAAGTAAAAGATAAGGATGACAGAATACAGTTGATAACTAAATTAATACAGAAAGGCAATTAGAAAGCATCTTGGACTAAATGATAATAGTAACACAAAATATGAAAATGGTGAGATTCAGCTAAAGCAGTACTTTAGCTGCAGGAAAAACTGTAATAATAAGTGAACAGAGAACAGAAGAAAGGTCTCAAAGCAATGACCTCAACTTCCACCTTAAAATACTTAAAAAAAACAATAACAACAACAAAAAAGGAGCAAATATAAAGCAAAATAAGGAGAAGGCTGAAACAATAAATATGAAAGTGGATATAAATGAAATAGAAAACAGAAAATCAATAAAACCAAAAGCCAGTTTTCAGAGAAGATGCTTTGTAAATAATGAACCTCTAGCAAGACAGACAAAGGAAAAAAAAATAGTAGAAAATATGCATTGCCAATATTACTATCAGGAATGGGAGAGGTGACATCACTACAGATTGCCTACAAATGTTATAAACATCATTATGCCAGTAAATTCTGGAACTTAGATGAAAGAAATTCTTTGAAAGACAAAAACTACCAAAGCTCACTCAGTTAAAAAAAAAAAAAAATATATATATATATATACACACATATATATCACTTGGATAGGCCTTGGTCTATGACAAGAACTGAATGTGTGGTCAAAAACCTTACCACAAACAATGCCAGGGCCAGATGGCACCATTAGTGGAGTTAAACCAAACATTAAAGGAAGAAATAACATCGATTGTACAGAAACCGTTTCAAAATATTGATGAGGAGGATATACTTCCCAATTCATTTCATAAGGCCAGTGTCATTTCAACACCAAACCCACACAAAAACATTATAAGGAAACTACAGCTCAATCTCTCTCATGAACACAGATACGAAAAATTACCGGTACATCTTCAACAAATTGAATGCAGTAATATATTTTAAAAAGATAGTAAATTATGACATCACAATAATCCCAGGAATGCAAGGTTGGCTTAACATTCACAAATGTGTAATTCACCATTTTAAAATACAGTGGTAGGCAATCTCTAAGATGGCTCTCAATAACACCCACTTCTAAGTATTCACACTCTTATGCAATACCCAGCTCTTGAGTGTGGGCTGCATTTGTTGACTTGTAGCCAATAAATGCGATATGGCAAAAATCATAGGATACTGCTTCTGAGAAAATATTATAAGAAAATGTTTCTTCTGTTTTGGTGCTCTCTGCCTTAGGTTTCTTCTCTTAGATCAGTAGACCTGGGGAAAGTCAGCTGCCATGACATGAGGCAACCCTGTGGAGAGGCACATGTGCAGAAGGACTAGAGCCTACAAATAACCTTGTGAGTCAAGTTTTCAGGAGCAACCACAGTTCCAGCTTTGTGCTTGTCTGGAATCTCATAAGAGACCCTGAGCCAGCTAAGGAGCATCTGCAGGAGACCCATAGGGACTAAGGTTTTTTAAATGTTTGTTGGTTTAAAATGTTAAGTTATGGGATAATTTGTTATGAAGCAATAGATAACTAGCACACAGTTTTTTACAAATCATATGATCATCTCAATAGACCCAGAAAAAGCATTTGATAAATTCAGCATCCTTTTACGATAAAAACTTTCAACCAACTAAAAACAGAGTAAAACTTTCTCAAGCTGATAGAGAGCATCTACCAAAAAATTACAGGTAACATCATACTTAATGGTGAGAAACTAAATGCTTTTCACCTAAAAACAGGAACAAGCCAAGGATATACATTTTGACAACTTTGATTTAACATTGTATTTTAAGTTCTAGAAAATACAATAAACCAAGAAAAATAAATAAAGCCATTCACATTAAAAAGAAAGAAATAAAATACTCTGTTCACAGAAGACATGATAATCTATGAAGAAAGTCTGGTCAAATCTATTTCTTAAGCTACTAGAACTAGTGATATTTTTATCAAGTGTGCAAAATACAAGATCAATATTTAAAAATCATTTGTATTTCTAGATACAACAAACAATCAGAAATTGGAATTTTAAAAACTACCATTCATAACAGCATCAAGCAATATAAAATATTAAATGATAAATATGACAAAAGATGTAAAATATCTTTACATAGAAACTGTAAAACATGGCTGAGAGATACAAAAACTAAAAGGAAAACAACAAAAGAGAGGCACTAACTCAAGTGTCTTAAAATTTACTGTGACACTTTCAGGAAGAAGTTAATCTTTGTTTCAGCCATAAAATATTAGTAATTTCTTACTTAAAAGGAAATTTATACATATATATTTAAATCAAGTAAAGTGATAAATGGCATATAAAATGATAATAATGAAGACTTAATTGATACATGAGTAATGGGAAAATAATGACATGTTTGTACTCCCACTCTGTTCTTGGAAGTCAGAACAAGGAAACAAACCCCACAAAAACACCCCTTGGTTCTGCCAAGAAGAATATGGAGCTAATTTTGACACTAGTTTGCATTTTTTATTTAAGGTCTTTGAACCATATGAGGAAATTCGAGTATATCAGACAGAAAACAATTACTTCTAACAAAATATATGGGGGGAAATTCACAGTGAAGTATAGCTTTGTAGTATATACCAGCATAGCCACAGAAGAAAAAAAATCAGCAAAAGTCAGATGACAGACTGGGTATGGTGGCTGATGCGTAATCTCAGCACTTTGGAAGCTGAGGTGGGAGGATCACTTGAGCCCAGGAGTTTGAGACTGGCCTAGGCAACATGACAAAACCCCATCTCTACAAAAAAATACAAAAATTAGCTTGATGTGGTGGCACGTGCTTGTAGTCACAGCTACTCAGGAGGCTGAGGTGGGAGGATCAATTGAGCCCAGGAGGTCAAGGCTGCAGTGAGCCATGATTGTGCCATTGAACTTTAGCCTGGGTGACAGAGCAAGACTATCTCAAAGGAAAAAAAAGGTGAGATGACAAATGTTGCTTCAGTATGTCATCTAAGGGTACCATCAAAGCTAAAAAAATGAACTTACTTCTTAACTAGTACATGTTATCATATAAATTCATAAAAGCCTTTCACTTGCTGACCTTCATGCTACTGGTTCTGGCAAAGCTAAGATTCACAAAGTCGTTTGCTGGCTTCAGGAAAGAGAGGAGCTTCAATTAGAAA